TTTAACCTTTCATGATGCGCTAGAGGGCAACAGGCGTCTGTTTCTATTCCCTGTGATTTCACGTTTCCAGCCCCTAAATGAGCCGCGTGTTAGATGCCTTGAACTAGCACAGGGACTAGGTGAAGGCATTGCAGGCATTATTCGGGTTGCGCTTCCATAACAAATGCCGAGCATGGATGGCGTTGGTGGCACGCGTAGATGCAGGCTGAGACACCAGTCACCTGCGGCTTTTATGGCACTGTCACCCTGTGGGATCTGAGTCAGGCGCACAGGCCGAACGAAAGAAAGAGATGTGTGTACGCGTAGCTACGTGGCTTCTGCACTATAACGCCGGACCTGTTGGTCGCCACTGCGCTAAAACTAGAACTTGCACTTACTTTTACTTGTTACGGCTGCGATCATGACTGATCTAGCCGGCCTCAATTATGTCCCGTATAGTACTTCTCAACGCGCGACGATCCGTGGCCGCAGACCTGGACAGTTCGACCCATTCTCGTTGCCAGCGCTGGAGACCGAATACCGAAGGTTCGAGAACCAATTCCATGTCCTGACGGACTGAGTCGAGCGGGAGGAAATACTTTCTCGGATGCTGCACCACATTTAATATTTGTAATCTGCCCAACGCCTTGCAGAGTTTGCTCGTTCGACGCCAACTGCGAAAATGTGCTGGCTTCGAAAAGCAGTATGTGATGTCATAATTTGTTTCTTGAGACAAAAACGCAAGTTACTAGCATTACACATTCCACCAGTTGTAGAGATAAGGATAACTGCGTTTGGGGCATTTGGTTTGCTTGATTGATTACATGACACGTGTGTTGCACGCAGAAACTGCAGTCAGTAAAGCATGCAAGCAGAAACATCATCCTCGGAAAAGATAGTTTTCGATGTTATACAGGAGTGGCGTTCATTTAGCTAGCCCGATTACCTGAAGACAGCCGCAACCAATTGATTCATTTAGGACACCAAATCAACAGGGCAGACTAAGTTTGTCTTCAGTCTCATTTCCACCAATATTTTGTGGTTGGATCCCGTAAAGGGTTGTAGACGCTCCTGTTCTCTCCACTGGTCAGGCCAGCGTAAGGAAAACAACCAGCACGATAGGGCACGGGAATTTATCTTGTTATAGAGGAGAAATATGATTCATTTTTCAGTCCGTTACTCTTTAAACGTGCATTGCCAAAATTCAGTGAGGATCAAGTGTTAAACGACTGATTTCACTTCCATGAAGGAGTTTTCAAGCGTGTTGGTACTGTCCTTCACGTTTAGACCTTGTAAAAAGTAAATGTTCCCTAGCTGAAGGCATCCTAGATGCGGGTGACGTGCGGCACAGACTGTTGGTAGAAAAAAGCCTTTTTGAACATCACCATCGTCGGAGAAGAACCACTACCTTCAGCGCATTATGCGGTAGTTAGTTTAAATGAAGATCTAGTGTCTTGGTAGTATTAATTTCTAAAATCTTTAAAATGACATCTGTCAGTCCATTTGAGCGCTGCAAAACAAGCACGGAAGCAAGAAACCCTCAGTGATGAAGCCCTGCATTTGTTATGGTTCTAGCATCTGGTGAGTAGCCTAAGAGGACAAATACTGTCGGGGTATAGATAATCCTGATTATGCTATTAGGGCGCTCACGGGTGTGGTTACGGAACATACTCGTCCCGTAGTTCCCTGTAGCTCACTATAGAGCCGTTGCAGGCATTCGCATAGCGACTTGTAGTATATGATGAATTGGAAGCGACAAAGACAACGGAAACCGGAATGGCCATTTCTAGTTTATTAGTCACCATTAGCCAAGCATATCCAATCCCCGGGAGTGGCGACCCCCGAGATTTGAACACAAAACCGTCGGTCATTAAGAGCAATACTCTATTATTGCAACATGGGCCCGCTGGTTTGTCGGTTGCGATCGGCCATTCCGGTATCCGTTGTCTTTTTCGGTTCCACCTCAACATATACTACACATCTTGATTCTCTTCGTCAACATATCATCCGAGCAAACAAGTGAACATCGTCCCAGCTCACTACGATGAAGTGCGTGTGTTGGAATGACATACCAGGCTTACTGTCCATCGTGCGACGCTTAAACCGCCAGTGCTCAAATGTTGTTTTGAGTCCGCTTTTGATAGGAGAAAGCCAAAATTCGAATCATACAAAACCTGCGGGACCGCGGAGGTTAGGCCTGCTAACCATGCATTGCAATATTTACTGGCTTTCACGCTCGTATTTTTTGCATAAAATCAATAATTGATGCGGAACTACTTGTGTGAACGATTATTATTGAGGATTATAGCAATCAGCAAGTTATCAATGGGGCATTTTTCCTAAACTTTGTTAATTCCAACTTTCAGGATAAAGGCCCAAGTCCGGCATTGACGAAACCGCCGATTTTGCGAGTATCATACACGGATACAATGGAAAAACGACTGGCTTGGAATTTAGCATTTAACACTATGAAATGTAAGTTTCCGCCTTGAGGATATTGGAATTGGTGGTATACTTTAGTGTAAAGAAACACACTTCCTATAGCTTTGCTAAACTGCGTATCTTAATTGTTTTGAAAAGTCAGGAAAGACCCTCTCAGGTCGTCATCCCAATGGAATTCTAAATTTAGCACCCAAGCTATGGAGAATCAGCCGCTATTCTTATGCGATTAAGATCTCAAAGTCTTACTTTAAAAGTTGATTAAATGACGACCCCTTTAGCCTCTTGCCTGGGAGCTATATTGGCTTATGGTAGGAGTTACCGCAGAGTGTTTCATTTTTAGTAAGGAACCGGATAATCGGTTCAAAGAGCATTTCTACCAATGACTGCTGTATACTTTTCTCGGTTATCTTCCAAAGCGTTCAGTGTGTCAGTAGGGCATCAAAATCGAACAAGTTGCACCACAACTTATTAATGGGTGATTGTGATGTACGCCACTATCCTCCTTTGCCTAATGAATCATATCTAGTACGGTTTTTTTTTCAGTAAAGTAAAGCGCAAGTAAAAGAGAGACAAAGCCTGTTGTGAAATACCCAAAATCACGAGTCTGATTTCAATAATACCCATAGTCCAACATGGCATCCACTCAGACTAAATGAAAATCGCAAGAAGCTAAAGAGTAAAAAACTGAGTTGAGGTCAAGTGTGCAGGGTTGTCAACCAGCGTTTCTTTAGGAAGCAACAAATTGAACATTTGGTTGGGATCACTTATATGCTCTCCCTGACAGGACGTGAAAACAGAAACCATCCGTAATGCATGTGCTTTTGCGCTAATTTCCGGGAAAATTAGGATTTAAATTAAGGTTGAAATTAGGGTTAAGGTAAGGATGAAGATAAGATGGGAGGTAAGATCAGGGCTAAGGGTAAGGGTAGAGGCGGTTTTAGAGTTAGGACATGAGAATATCTACTCCTAAAATTTAACGCAACGCCACCTCCATTACGTCGTGGTATTCCCATTCTATTCCTGTTCCAACTAAACATTAAGTTTCAGTTACAATGGGCTGTAAAAAATTGCGTTTTTGGGCCTCAGACAGGGACTGGTTCACTGGGTTGCTTACTTCAGTAAAGATTGCCAATGACATCTATCGGTAGACATCGAACGCCATGCGGCAATAGGAAATACTGAGTAGCAGTAGCCAGGTCCTCTCCCGCGGCATGAAGAAGTTCCCCTTATATTCATTACGGAGGGCCTGATTCCCCCCTGTCTATGAACCTAAAAATGTTTACTAGCTGCTTCTAACGTTGGAACCTACTCCCGCGTTATCGGGATGTCGACTTTACACTGGAAGGAGGTCCAGATAACTGCACATAGGTGCTCTCGGTAAAAAAGTAACTGACAGTAATTTCACAAACAATACTGCGTATGAATGGCTGATGAGAGCTGTTACGGAGACGCGAGCGGCGATGTACCCAGACCCTACGGTGAGAAGCACACGCCAGCTG